GTAGTAGTAGCAGCAGTAGTACCCTGATTGCAGCAAACCCGAAGAAGCTTCGACTGTGAGGCTCGGGCGGTAGTAGATGATCGTTTCAGGCAGCTTGTTGTTTGTCTTCTTCCACTTCTCTAGGAGGCTCTTCGTCATGCCTTCCCATGTTCACTGACATGACGCTCGCAGTCACATTCGCCACATAGCTTAAGGCCAGAGGGAACACAGACCTTTTAAAAACCGAGCCAAGCTACTGGACAAATCAATAATACGCTCTTCGCTTTGACGATTTCGCTGCTTGAGCGTATTCAGCGTGTACGGAGACTGCCCGCGAATCTCGTGAAAGTAAGTGGCCTCAATTGCACATTCCAGCGGACAGATCAGTCGCAGTTGTTGCAAAGATTTGAGTTCAAGTTGCGTAGCTTTCGTCCACGGAGGCCACAACTCCCGCCACACTGATGCCAGCAACTTTGTGAGTCACATCAGCACCCATGATCATGGTGGCCTGGCAGCGCATGACAGCGCGTCTCGTTTGATGGGCACCCGTTCTCATTCGGACTGACTGGGGTTGCTGTTGCCTTCACTACAATTGTGACTACTATCACTGGTTTCTTTTCTGAACATGGATTCTTTGCAGCAACTTGCACATGGACACGCCTCTTCCTTCCTCAGAAGTGGGTGTGGCTCAGACAGGGCCACATTGAAAGCCGCCCTGGAACCGGTCGGCATGGAAGGAACTTTAGGCGTGATCTTCAGCATGAGGTTGTTGAGCTTTTTCTCCGCGTCCTCCCAAACAAATGTGGGGGTTTCACAAAATGGGGGTACCATTTTGAGGGTCTCCATAATAAGGATTTTAATATATTGTAATATATTGGGGTCTATATTGGGGTCCCATTATTTTGGGAAATTACCATGTGGGAAGCGAGGGAAGCGATGAAAGTTGCAGTACGACGCGGCTAGGCCCCCCACTTCAATGCCCTTCTTGCAATTCACAAACTGCGTGGTGAAGGTGCCAATCTCGGTTTCTGTGATGAGCTTGATGCACTTGTACAGGTGATCCGTGATGGCCTCGGAAAAGAGCCAAAGCTCCAGGGCCCCTTGAAGCATTTACCATTACCGCTATATTCATAGTGATAGTTTGAATGATGGTATTAATCTTGTGGGTAATGTTAATGATATTTATAATACGAATACTATCATTCATAACAGCTTTACATTCGAAAATACTAGTATCAATAATACTGTGACTAAATCAGGCCTCGTTGTCGCCCAGTAGGACCACGAGCAGCTTCAAGTCCTTTTCGCATCGCCATTCTTAGGGGATCAAAGGGACTTCCTGCAAAACATGGGCTTTGTGCCTTCTACTAAAGCCTGCGGTCTTCTGTCAGCAGTCTTCATGGTTTCATATGGCCGTGGCATCCCAGCCTTGTGCGTCTGGGCCACTTGTTCAAGATTCCTTCGGACCGCATCGCGCATCTCCGGAGAGAAGGCGTCCCTGTTGCTGCGGCCTCATGGGTCTCTTTGCTAAGCCGCCACCTTGAAGCTGAAAGAAAGACCACCCTCTGCATTGCAAGCCGAAGAGCACTTGTAGTATGCGTTGAAGGCCTCGGCATCAACATGGCAGTGGTCAAAAAGGTAAAATAAGCTAAGCATAAGATGTTGATGCTATAGCACCAGCTTTACATGACCACCATAAAGTAATATATCCCCAATATAACCCCTATATGAGCCGTTGTCTAAACTCCTAGTATCCCCCCTTAATAGCCCCTATAGTAGTCCCCTATAGAATCCCCTATATAACCCTCTTGAAGGAGTTTAGACTACAGCTCATACAACCCTAAACCCTAAACCCTATATAACCCCAATGGTCTTAAAAGTAGGAAGAGCATCAAAAGTAACCTTTTGAGAGCCGGCGTCGTCCGGCCACTCCACGAACTTGGCTTCTGCAAAGGTCATGCCCTTTCCTTACGGGTGGTTTAGTAGGGAATTCCCAAAATTAGAGGGTTTTGGGTTTTGGGGGTCCCCATCATAAGGAGTATAGTATATTGGGGTCTATATCCCTATATAACCCCTATATAATTACAGAAGGGTGCGCTGTGGGGCCTGGAGTCGTGAACATACGTAAAAACACGTATTTTCATGATGTTTAGCATAATAGTTAGGGATTAT